GCTACTGGTACGATTTGGGGCGCGGCCGCGGCGAGCGCGGACGAGTTGGTAGTGCCCGCGAACTGTGCGGGTAGTTTGAAAACACTCCATCAGCACAGTTCGCGGGCACTATCAACTCGGCCGCGCTCGCCGCGGCCGCGCCCCAAATCGTGAAGAAAGTGGGGGAGCCACTTATGAACTGTTTTTTATATCGTAGCGAGCCCAGGTTGAGCTATTTGTCTCCATATCTTCTCTGCCCCCCCCCCCCCACTTTGAACCTTCTCAATAGCTTTCAAAAATTCGCTCAAAAATTAGAAATTAATTTGTGTTTCCCTGTTATGGTGATCTTTTTTGAGTGGTTTCATAGTGGATCCTGCGGCCCTGGCTTTGTATTGTAGAGTGCATTGCGAGCGCAAATAAATGGCTAACTAAATGGAAAATTTGACATTAAGAACTCGTCTATGGAATTTATTGGTCAGCCTTCGCTGCTATAACGAGTTCTTCTGCCCTACATGCCAAGCATAACAGTACAACAATTCTTAGTAAAAACTAGGCCATACAAAAATGCTGACGAGAGTGATCTGACACCAGTGTCCAAATGTGGTTTCCACAATGAATTCGGAGATTTAAGAAGGGAATCATGCCTAGAGGAGGACAGGTGGACCCTGGAGTGCGGGCCGACACACAGTTCGCAGCGAAGGATATGCCTCCGCAATCTGACGTGCCTGTCCTCGAGCCGCTGTCTCCACTGCCCGCCCACTCCACCCCCTCTGGCTCTTGCCGCTAGCAGAAAGACCGTAAGCGTTGATGAGGTGAGCACTTGAGACACGCCTAACGCGCAAATCAACGGGTGAAAGCGAATTCCATTCCTCGGGTTCTGGTTGTATTTCTTGGTTTCGACTTCATTCCTCTACCACTGACCTCCTACCTTAATTTCTACTGGACTCTCTTTTCATCGTGTGTCCCCCTTTAAGATCTGTAATACAAAGACTAGCGAGCATACTAATCGTTAAAAGAGTCCTTCGATCATTTCATCAAAAAAAGCAATTTTTCTATTCTTTTCATTCTTATCGTGGACGATGAGTCTCAAGCCAGTGATTTATGGCTGAAATGAATCATGATTTTTCCGTGAAGGATTCCTTTAACAGCGCAGTTCCCCAGCGAACGAGCAAAACACTTTAAGTTAAATGTTAAAAGGTATTTAATTAAAAGTAACTACGAATGTGGTGCTAATAAAGACGACTTCTTTCTCGCACCGCTAAGGTGATATTCTCAAATTTCTATGAGCCGCTTGACAGCGTTTAATGATAAAAATAGTAAAAAGTAAAGAAATCAACTTGAATTCCCAAATCTTTCACTTCACCGCGACAGGTAAATTTGAAGAAACTTGTGAGATTTAGTGGAGTGACATGCGCATTCTCTGGACCTCCAAGTGCGCCCACATGGCTGTAACAAGGGGTCCTAACGAAACCACCTTGGAGGTGGGTTGGAGACCCGAAAATCGCAAAATTTGAAATGGCCCAGACGCGACGTTGACCCTGCTCATACGGCCTGCAATTTCAAACGCGCATGTGCTTCATGCTATAGTCATTGTGTTATTGATATTCACATATGCAGAACAAGTTCAAGGGAGACGTTTAGTCCTCCTCCTAGGTCAGATCACAAAGCTGCGCGATCATTGAGGCCTGGGTTTGTGCTTTTGCTCAAGTTTATGCTTGCACATTGACTTATGCTCACTGTTAGGCCTATAGTTGGGCTCAGGCTTAGTCTTAGGGCTGATAGGGGGCCTCCTCCTCCGATCCCCCCACCCCCTGTAAATGATTGGTGTCCTAACTTTAGACCACTGACCCTGACCTGAGTATTGAAACACACCCAAAAGCAGGCGGTTTTTTCGAAGAATTTGCTGCCTACTCAGAGGAAGGCTTCAGCGGTTTCTATAGCGATCGCAGTTTCATATGAAATTTGAGATACTATTCAAGACGTATTCAACAACAACAGAACAATGCTTTTGATACTGGTGATTCTACGTTGGTATTGGTAATGGGTTTCGTCATATCCACTGATCCACTTGGTGTCTCAGTTCGCGCTGCTGTATCAGTCCTCGCACGCTGTTTTGGATCGAGACCCTAGCCAGACATGCATGTTATGAGTACAGTTGAAGGCAAAGCTATCTGTGAAAACAAAAACTCAGTCTTGAAAAACAAGCATTCTTAAAGGACGAATTCACGCTGGAAAGGCAACCCATTTCAAATTAACTTAGCGATGGTGAGTGGTACACGAAAGAAGGAAAACCATGAGAAACGGCCCAGAACCCGAGAAATGGGACCCCTTCCTTGCCCGTTGATTTGAGCATTGATGCGACTCTCATCGCTGTGCCCTCTTCAACACTACGCTCTCTCACCTATCTAATCACTCGCCACGTATAGACCTGCGGCGAGTGATCAGATGATCGGTGGGCGTGCACCGGCCCACCGTGCCAAGGTTGAGCCTTAATAGGTCGCCGAGGTCAACTTCTTCGGTGCTAACTGCGCTTCAGTCCGCACCCTTAGGAGGTCCGCGGGTCCCTCAACTAGGTGAATTACTCCTTCTTCGATCTTCATTC